CTGGATTCCCTTATCGGCCGCCTCAGCGAACCGGCGCACGTCGTCATAGTCCCTGTTGAGGGGTCCGGTGGGCGCGAACACCAGCCTCTTGGCCGGCAGCTGGACGGGCACCACGGCGCCCTCCGACTCCAGGGCAGCGTTCACCGCCCGCAGCGCCTCCAGCGGCGACTTCAGCGTGGCCAGGTGTCCGGGCAGCTTGGCCACGGAGTCGGTGACGAGCACGATGGCGTCGGCGTCGCCGCAGGAGAGGTCGGTGACCGCCTTCACACGGCACGGCACGCTGGGGGGGGGGGGGGGGTCAGCGTGGGTCGAGTGGGGGTCCGAGAGTGGTTTTATTAGGGGAACAAATGAGCTCAGTAGAAGCAACTCAAGGCCATTACCAGTCAAACAATAGTTTGAAAGCAGTTATGAATAATTGCAGCCCATAAAGCTTTAGAGATGCGTTTAAGAAGAACTGAACTACGATAATACATGCAACTGTCAGCAATAACACTATAATAAAAAGGTTGGACCCGCGTCCTCATTGATTTTAAAGTTCAAGCATTCGACAAACAAAATGGACAATGACAGATATGATTAATTCATGTGAAGATGTCCCTAAGGGCCAAGGTCCTCCGAAAATAAACTGGTCTCGACAGCATCGTTGCGCAAACGGTAATCCGTAAAGCAAACAGTCCGGTCCGAGCAGAGTAAACTGGTTTTAGAAACCAGTTTCACATCCCAACAGCAGCAGATGATACTGCAGCATCTTTTTCAGCCGTTTGAGTCGCCCTGACTGACTGAGAAGGATGACTGTTGTTTTGTGACTATACTTTTTGTGATCTGACTACGCGCATACCGTTCATTAACCCTCAGAGTTTATTGTGTTTATCATAACAGAAGGTCACAGGTAGTCGATGGACTGTGTGTACAGCGGGACTCTACATACAGTGCCAGGCCCGAAACAAGGACGGTTCCTCTGCTGGTGCCTTACCAGCCCCAGTCCGGGATGTGGTCCCCGGAAGCCATCTTCGTTAGGTGAGACGAAACCGATCAGAATCTGAAACGGAACACAACAGGTCAGAATATGTACGACCCAACATTTTGGCCAGGATCAGCCAACTGTACCTACTCGTCAACCATGTGATAAGCAGTATAACCCGCGCCCTGGTGGGGTCTGTTTATAACGCGACCTGGTGGGGGGGGGGGGGGCATTTTTTGCCCCCCCTCGTATCTCCGAAACTACTGGACGGATCCGCAAAATTCAAACGGCGTTCGATAGCCCTGTCAAATTTGTCGGGGGAAACCAAATTTCATTGACCTCGGGGTCACCGATGACGTCACAGGTCAGGTCAAAGGTGCAATGTTTCACCGTTCACGGGTCATCTAGGGAATGCGCTATAACACCGAAGAAAACGCATTTTGTCGAGAATCAGCGATAGGGCGTCAGTTGCCTAGTACATATGTTGCTATAAGAGCTCACTATACAAGGTCAGGTCACAGGTCAGGTCACCAAGGGTCACAGGTCAGGTCACATGAACCTAACTTTAGGTACTAAGGTTGTGCGATGCAGGTTTTATGGCTAATTTTTCATTTCCAATTCAATGGTGTTGGCTATAACACTATCAGGTACGGCTTAGGTCACTTTCTGGTGAAGGTCAGGTCAAGGTCAGGTCAAAAAAGGTCAAATTTTAAAGTTGATAGTTTTGAATAAAATGGGTATTGATTCGATGCAGCTCGTCACGGGGAGTCTAATGGTGGTCTTTGTTTTGCGCTACGGGGTCTAGAATTGCTAAAAATTGAGTTTGAAAATTTGACGTCATCAATTTTGAACAGTTTTTCCGCTAAAACTTCGCCAAAAAAAGAGGCATCAATCTGAAATTTGGTATGTGGATAGAAGGCGGTAAGAACTATCACATATATTCCGGTTTTCGCGAAATTCCAAAAACTTTTTGGATTTTTTGGCTTTTATATTCAAAAAATCTATTTTTTGATTTTTGGGGGTCAAAATCCAAAAATTTCAAAAATCCGAGATTACAGTTTTGTAGCCCTGTCAATTCTACAGCTTTTATGTCTTTATCATTTTTCTGTATTTGCAAAGCTATAGGCCTGACAGCTCTTCCCGCGAAACCCTTTTTTAGGTCGAAAACGGCAGAACATGACGTCACTCTGACGTCATTTCCGGCCAACCTATCATAGCCTTTGGAAAAATTTTTGGTCACAATGTGTAAAATTGATGTCCGGGAGGGTACTGAAAGTTTGGTGACGATCGGCGCAGCGGTTCTGGAGATATGACGAAAAGTCTGGAGGGGGGGGGGGCAAAAAATAGCCCCCCCCCCACCAGGGCGCGGGATAACGGAACGATAAACTATATAACCTAATGTGAGAATCGACAGAGGCGGCTCACTCAGGTCGTGATGTCTGTTGTGGTACAGGGCACACCGTTATATGAAACGAGATCGATATAGGTAGGCATCGGTCGATAAATCAATATATCGACTAAACAACAGCTACATCCCACACCACATACGACTCATACTGGCCTCATAACATAACGCTTACTACCTGAGTAGTGTATGCGTTTATCAGGACGAATGTTTCATTTACGGACCCAGTTAAATGAAGGGACACGTTTTCCGACCCTCATCCATGCATTACACTATCAAAACGCTGCTCGAACCGTGACCCAGCAAGATTCAAAGACGAGCCGTCAACAGAAAACAGCCTTCCGTTTTCCCTTATGTGACTTCAACTGCCTGCGGTCACTAGAGGTCATCAAGGGGTCGTCGCCTCGTGCGGCCGTCATTCCACAAGTGTGTCAGGGGTCTTTTTGTGGCTTGTTTTGTGGGTTGTCCTGCGGGCTCGCGCCCATTTTGGATGTTTTGTCAGCTGAGGGGGCGGATGAGCCAGTGAACATACAGGATGGATGGATTCGTCGTACTTGAGCTGGGGTAGCGGCCTCAGAAACGTGGTGTTACCAAGAGAATAGAAAGGAGATCAACACGCTAACTGAAGCTCCCTACTGTTGGGGGTGTTCCTACTACAGACGAGAGTAGCGTGAGCCCCGTGCCCGCCGGATGAGCCTTAGCAGCGTCCTTTGGTCGTCGGACATGCCATGGAAAGATTAAACAAACGGCGAGTTTCGCTTGTGATGAAAGAGCGATATGACCCGCGATCAAATAAACAGCAACGTATCGATACGCTCGGAAACATCCCTACACATCGCACCAATGAAACCGATAGGTAGGCGTTTCGAGTTCCCAGTACGCCCACCGTTACACAAAACCCGGGATATGTTTCGAGAGTGAAGGCCAAGCAAACCTTCCATGGTAATAATGACTGTTACGAAACTTTGCCCCTGGCAGCAACCCTTTCGTCATTTTGATGGAAGTCACCTTTAGGACTGCCTTAGTATTTTAACAGCGAGCACCGCTGTGCTGTCGACACTCGACACGGTTGCAGCCGTGCCACTCTTGTCCCTACACCCGCCATTACCAACAGGACCGCTTCCAGCGAATTCGGTCACCACAGAGCAGCGCCTCTCAGAAAAGCTATACGCAGAACTAGCCGACTCTGCCGGAGGCCTGATCGACTGCTGGAAGACGTTGTCATTCCGAAGCGGGATAATTGTACGGTAGACTGCAGGGCGAACTGGAGAAGGCAAATTGTGTGTTTAAAGTGCTCGTTGATCTCTGGCTAAGTACAGGGTATGTGAAGCGCGGACAGGTAGGCATCCGCTAAAAAAATCTACAAAATATAAGAAGTAGAACCGTTCATGCATTAGCAAGTGCCAAATGGAGGCGGAATTGGCCTCAAGAAGCGTATATTTGCTTCTGATCAATTGCAGAGAACCTCTCGAGATGTGTCGCTCGAAGTACGATTTCATTCTTTTGGCTGAAGTAGGTATCTGATAAGGCGATACTGATGAGCTATTGAGACCAGCCGTCTCGGCGGCTGATAGTGTCATGTGAGCCAGGCGACCGGGCGCCGAGCACCGACCTCACCTGAGTAGTGAGTACGGCCCTCGGCAGCAAATTATCGGACGTACTCGAGTCAGATAACGGTACGAGAGGGGAGCCAGGGATCTAGACGATGCGTACTGTAACAGGCTAGGAGTAAGAACCCTCGCAGAACGAAGCAAAGCCGTAAAGCCAGTAGCCACACTTACAGGCAGGATCGAATTATTGAGCACCTACACGAGCGTGGGGACAGGGGTAAGGTCTAGACTTGAGGTCCACCAATAGATGTCAACTATGCCAGGATGGCAACGGAGAACTGTCCGCCCGTCACGTCCACCGCCCGGGAAGCTGCTTGTCATGGGTAAGCAATAACAAATTTCGGTATTTATATACATAACCCGTGAACTAAGAATTTACAACCTTCCACTTGCCCACCCGACTCGTGAGTCGCATTACCCTCCTCCCATCCCGTGAGGCCCAGCCGTACCCCGCTCGCGGCGCATGGGGCGCGGGGGCACTGACCTGTGACGAAGGCCGCGCCGACTACGACGTCCCTTCGCGGCGGCTCGCACGGAACAGTGGACCGGCCGATTGACGGCTCCTACTGCCCCACGGCCGACACCTAGCGGCCGGACGGCGAACTACAGCGGTCCCGTGCGCTCGGCAGATAGCAGAGGTCGAATGAACCCGCAAGTGCCTGGTGGGGAAGTGGTGGCCTGATAATTCCCAGAGCCGGAGGCGAGGCGGAAAGATACGGACGCGCAGACATCGCAAAACGAGCGCTGCCTTTTAAAAAGCAATGCGAAAAGTTGTTCGTTTTCGCAAATCCCGACATTTTACCGACATAGAGATAAAAATAGTAAATACGACTGGACAGAACCATACGCGAAATCTACGTACACCTACAGGACATGCATCTGAATTGTGCCATCCAGCCCCTCTGAACCGATCGACATTAGCCTTCCGTGACCCTCCGACAAATAAAACATAGACTGGACCACCCAGAATCAATTTTGAGAAGGTGAAGTCGCCTTCGAAAACTGGACAGGAAAAACGGATATGTAATGGAAGGCAACGTTTATTTATCCAAAGCACACATGCTGATACACACGAGATACAACCACAGCCATTCTCGGGCCGTACATGAGATACACGATAAAATACAATAAAATACAGCTTGACACTGACCCAGAATACAGGATGGCACACCGGTATCCCCCAATATGATACAACGCTCGGACCCTTTTACAAAGTCATACGTTATTTGAGTTCGGCTGGCAAGGTTTGGACAGGAGACGAATGACACGTGTAATAAGCAAATATTCGAATTTAGTGAACGAGGGATTATGACTATAGTCCGTTTTTCTTATCTTTAGACTTCACTCCAAGATGTTTCGCAAGATATGCACGAGACAAAGCATGGCTTAGAAAAAATCAAGCCCTTCGGAAACAGAAAATATTGCCTTGAAGCCTGGAGAGTGGCGCTCTTGGGTGCGGCAAGTGCAGATTTGTAGTCTCACAAATGTGTATTACATAAATAGGTAGGTACTTATACCTACCTGCTACAATTAAATTATACTTGCGATATGAGGCTTGGTCACAAGCTAATGTTGCTACATGTAGGTATACCAGCTCGTAGACGTAACGTTACAGCACGACTGAAAGACATTATAAAAAAAGGCTACAATATTTACATAAGGATACAAACCCAGCGGTGATTCCTGATGGAGCCCAACGGACCCATCCACTTGAAAGGCGAAAACATATATATTAAATGCCGAGGCATGCGATGCTCAAATATAGTAGGAACTTGCATCTCTACCAACAATACGGGTACAATACGGCGAACAGATTTGAAGGTACGAAAAAAAGAATGGTAATTGAACACAAATGAGCGTCATGGTTACTATCAATGTGTTTCCTGTGATCGTAACGAAAGCAGATGAACGCCAAATCAAGGACAAGACTCACATGGCCTCAGACCAATCAAATGACACAAAGGCACCGGATTATCATTCAGCAGTATTTTCAATCCGCGGGGGGGGGGGGCAGCAGCTGACCACTTGACCAGCCACTCCATTCTACTCTAATATACTGGCCATTTCAAGTGATAGGGTACAGGGCCGTTCATACGGTGTCCCCTTCAGAGAGCTCTCAGTCCCGGTTACCAACTCACATCACCGCACAGGAGCTCCTCGGGGCAGCGTCGGCCGGCAGGGCGGGCGGGCGGATCTCCTCAGCGTGCACCTCCTGCAGCAGTCGTGGGAACCTCTCGCCGGGCCCGGGCGGCCGGAGTCGCTCCCCGGGCCGCAGCGGACGGTGGAACGGCACCTCCGCCACCCGGCCCGACTCGGGCTGCTGGCCGCGCGCGGCGCCGCGCCCCGCCGCCGCCTCCTGGGCGCAGCGCTCTGCCTGGCGGCGGCCCAACGCCAGGTAGAACGCCGCCACCAGGACGGCGGCGACGGCGGCGGGCGCGTGCGCGGTCCAGCCGCTCTCGCCGGTCACCTCTGCGGGCGGCCGGCAGCCGGCGCAGCGCCACATCCGACTGGTCACGTTCACCATGTCCTCAACATCGGCGCAGATGGCGCCGGCCGGGTGCATCCTCCGGCCCGAGACGGCCTCCAGCTGGTCGGCCTGCGCGCGCAGCAGGTCGGCACACTCCCGGCACACGGCCGGCGAGCCGTCCGCCGCCGTCCGGTTGCCGTTCCGCTCGACACACGCGCGGAACGCGTCGTGACGGCGCGTCAGCTCAGAGATATCCGCGTTGATCTTGTAGCCGCCGAAGCCGAGTTTGGTGACGCAGCGGTCGCAGCGGTTCTGCGCCACCACCGACTGGTAGTAGCGCATGTGGTACATGATGATGTGCACGTCGTCATGGTCGAGCAGCTGCAGGCGGCAGTGGGCGTCATCCGGTCCCGTGCCAGACAGGATGTGCTGGTACGCCCGCTCCAGAGGGTAGCGGTTCTGCGCGCAGCGGATACACACCGACAGAGGGCGGGACGCCTTCACCGTGCAGGCCATGAAGTCGGCGAAGGCGTCGGCAAAGTTGGCCAGCAGCAGGCGGCACGGCTCGGAGATGTTGCCGCGCCGTTTGTACTCCAGTGACAGGTTGACTCTCTGCGCTCGCTGCAGGTGCGTTTCGCGGCCGTCGTCGATCTCCGGCCGGGGCCAGGTGAACAGTGCGACCAGGAGCAGCAGGGCGCCCCCGTACACGGCGTAGGCCACCAGCTGCATAACGCTCTGGTAGAGGCCGAACCAGTCGAACCCGGCCGGGCCGCCGGCGGGCCGGGGCGCGGCGGGCCGGTGCCAGCCCGGCGCCGGGCTCGGCGAGCGGAACATGGTCGGCCAGTGAGCCTTTCCGGGGAACTAGCGCGCCAATGGCAGTGGTGACAAAAGAGTGCCACCGATTGTGCTCTTAGTTTTCAGAGATCTGCAAGAGGAGGGCAGTGTGTATGAGGACTGTGGAGGCGACACTCTTTTCAAGAGCTGCTGTAAAATGGCTTCACAAACTCCAAACAGCAAATGCATTATGCAATCATTGTTAAGTGTGGAATGTGTATAATTAAACAGCAAAAATAATATTGTCGCAAAACCACTCACTTGAAGAAAGCACTAGGTGTTCACTACCCATGGATATATCAGCCACCAAGTGTAGGTCAAATACAATTCATGTAAAGTGATAATAAAGCTGAAAATGATGCGCACACCTCCTAGGTCTTTTGATTTGATATGCTGGAGGCTTCAAATTGCTGTCTTCCATGTAAGCACTTCAGCTACCAGGCATCACTCCTTTATCATTGGTCCATGAAACTTGCATCCAAACACCCTGCAGAAGCCATAACCACTAGCCCACAATGTGATAAATTTAGTGACAACAATGGTCTATCTATAGTGATCTAGCAGTTAGCACTACAAAATCTTCTTATCAATACCACAATTTTTAGGTACCTACAGGGTGTTGCAGATAAATCCGACACTTGAGAGGCAAAATACGAAATCGGCAATGAAAGCATGAATATTGCACACACAGGCCTGGCATTTTATTCAGCACCAGTTCGAGTCATATGCTGCACTTCTACTCGATGTAACCGCCGTTGGCGGCGACGACCATCTCAAGCCGAGGGCGAAATGATTCGCACGCCTTGGCGACCGTGTCCTTGTCTACGGCGGCGAACTCTGCCACGATGGCGGCCTTGAGAGAGTCGACGGTATTGTGTGCGTGCTTGCTGGTCTTGGCCTCGATCACGCCCCAGAAGAAATAATCGAGGGGGTTGCAGTCAGGTGAGGAGGGCGGCCACAAGTCCGGCGACCAGTGGTGAGGGACGCTGTTGAGCAGCCACGCCTGCGTCGTCCTGGCCTTGTGCGCCGGGGCGGAGTCTTGCTGGAAGACGTAGGGGCGTCCGTTGGCGATCCTGTGTTTGTGTTTTGGGGGAGGCAATTGATCATAGAGATGTAACATACTGCCCAAACTTTTCGTCGTGAGCATAGCACTCGAATAAACACGTTTTTTTTTCCAAGTGTCGGATTTACCTGCAACGCCCTGTACATTATCATTCCTAATTTTGCACCCAAGTAACACGAATACGCAACTGCTGCACAAGTTTATATGACAAGTGATTCCTGCGGAGTGCAGACCTTGCAGTCGAATCGCTCGCTTTGACTGCAGAAGATGCAGTGAACCACAGCAGTTTGATGCCACACCATCTGCCCCATTTCCACTTTCAGTGAAGTAGGTAATTGCCCGGAAGCAGCTGAACCGCAGGTGACCCCGAACAGCACTCTAACTTGCCACTCTGATTGCATAAGTCTATGGAAAGCTAAAAAATGCAAGCAATCTAAAATAACAATGGTTGAACTTTGCCTCAACTAGGAACAAAATGTAGATATTTTGATTTACAACAAAGCTGTGGCAGGAAGTTCCAAATCGAGTTCCTTTCAAAAGTATCACGTTTGAAGAATCATTAGGCATAAAGACGCAAAACAATATGATTCTGCCTTACCTATTATGCCAGACTGAATATCCTGAAGATGATGAATAATGCCTGCAAGAATGGCTGATAACCTGCCACTTCAACTTCCAAGATAAAAAAATCACACTGAAAATAAATAATAAAAGACAACCATGCATTTCACAATTCAGCACTTCATGTTCTTAGAGGAGCATCACTGACGGCACATAATATATAAACAAATCATACGCGCTAACTTGCTTTCACGAGCCAATCAAATACAAGAATTTCGGACACTCCGGCTAACCGATCGCAATTAATAGAATCAAGGAACGCGGCGTTTGAGGCGTTCAATAATATGTTTAATAGCACATCTCACTTATTGAGCTCTCATGCAACGGCCTTGCTCATTGGCAGATCAGGGAAATGTCGATACGCTAGCAGGACTTACAGAACTCATTGAGCAGTATCCTGATCTGGCTTTCTGGAGCTTTTATTTTTTATGAGCTTTGAACTCGCGGAACTTGAATTAATTTTCTGAGCTGTATACTGTGTGGTGAAAAATCTGCCATAGGATTTGAAAGCATTTGGTATGAAACACATCTATTTTTTGGAAAATTTGGCGCTAGATGTAGCAGCGTGAGCTGTGGAGCAGTACCCACCTATCCTACTTTAACTTTGACCATTGACTAAAACAAGAGTGAGAGAAGGTAACGATACCTCAGTTGGGGAAACTACGAGGCGAATGTCAAAAAATGGATTGGTCAATAAATGGACTTTTGATGACCATATATGGGCATAAATGCAGCCCTCGCTACTAAGGGTGAAAAACGGTATAACAAGCCAGTATTTGCGGTATCGCGTCCACTTATTGGAGAGAAAAGGCTTCCATTTTTCACTAGGAACTAGTGTGATTTGATCAAATTCGGTGAATTGACTCGAAAATGGCGATAGGAAAACGGCTTTTCTGCAGGTTCTGGGCGTCACAATCAGCTGGCCATTCAATAAATGGATTGGTTTTATGAAAGAAAATTGTTAAAAGATTTAATTTAATTACAATAAACAAAAATATTTAATTCTAAAATAATAACTTAGCGACAATTAGAAAAACCATAAACAAAATAATAAAAATAATGACATTTTTAAACCACGGTACTGCTTACATTTTTTGGCGCGTCTGTTTCAATCCGCCATATTTGCCAATCACGGTTTGACCTTGCTTTGTAACTCTGCGATTTAGAGCCGCCAGTTAATTATGCACCGGGTGAGTGTAGGCCTTGTGTGGTTAAAAAACATTCTTATGCCTTATTTTTTCATTTGTTTGCTAAAATTCATTGAAAAGATGAAGTCTGATTTTATGACCATATATGGTCATCGCCCCGCCCACTCCTGCCGCTGATTGGCTAATCCAATTTTTGTTTGGCTCCTTGTAGTTTCCCCAACTGACCTTCTTCACAAAAGGCCTGCGGGATCGAGGGTATTTGGGAACTAGGTACAGAAAAGCTGAACTGTATAATAGGTACTCTCGGGGGGCCGATTGATGTTCCACTACTCCCTACCTACCCATCGGGCTCCCATGGCTCAGCACTGGCTGCTGCCAGTGCTGCCACTGCTTGTGCTGTCACTGGCAGTAGCCAGTGCTGAGCCATGGGAGCCCGATGGGTAGGGAGTGGTGGAACATCAATCTGCCCTTGAGTGCACTCCTGGCACCTATTATTGCACTCCTGGCTGTGATCGGTGCTGATGGCCAATAAGTACATCAACATGTTTCTGAACTTGAGATCAATCTGGTCCTGGCTGGGCACTTACAAGCTTAGCAATAGTGAAAAAATAGTATAGTAGATGATCTAGGTGCTGCACTGAGTTCTGATACCTACAAGCCTCTTTCTAATATGGAAAGGAAATTTAGACATGCTGCATGTCAATACTTTGTCAACCTGCTCACTGTTTGTACTTATCTGCTGAAATTATGTGTATATCTGTTGTGTTGCTTATAGCTGTTCGACTATCATGATTTACCCCCTCCATTGCTCAGGTGTGTTCTTCAATAGGCATGGGTAGCCAAGAAGAGGATAATGGGATATCCGAAAAGCAACTGAAAATCATCCTTGTTGGAGATTCTGGATCTGGAAAAGTAACATGATGTTCTTTGTGTTGTTAAGTGACACCCAGCACAAGTGATTGAAATATAGATTTGCAGCATTGTTATGCTAATCTGCACTGCACTATAAAGGTACCTGCAGCCCTTCAAATACTGTTTTTTTATATAAAAGTGCATGTTTTGCATGAAGTGTACAAATTTTGAATGTTTGTTGTCCATGTTAATTGCCATTTTCAGCTTTTTGAGTATTGGGAGCTTTAATTGTTAGATGTTTTATGTTGTATTGAATTATGTACCGTAAAACGGGGTGTTAAGGGACAGTTTTGAGGTGTTTTGTTATATAACTCAAGAAAGGTTGGAGATAGAAGCATCAAATTGTCAGCATTTTATGTGGATTTTGGTGCTTTATATGCCTGCCACGTTAAAGTTTTTAAGATTTATCCCTGCATATTATTTTTTATTATTTTTCATCACTGTCCCTTAGCACCCCAATGTGGGGTGTTAAGGGACACCTATATTATTCCAAGAAATGGTCATCAAATGCCCACAATTGGGGTGTGGAAGGGCACACAATTTATTTATTGAAATGTTTTGCATATTCTGTCACAAAACAAGTCAGGTTCATTCACCACTAATGACCTTTTTAGCCAATTACGTGTAATGCAGCTTACGCTTGTGGAAAAAGTGCTAATTATAAGGTAAACAGAACCAAAAAGTACCCTTCTGTCATAAAAAACCCATGTTGAAGCTAGTCACTTGTCATTATGTTGCCCTCTTTGTTTTAGCCTTTTTATGATGACATCACATTTACCTGCATCAGTCTCCATTGACCCGTCATTGTAAAAGAGAGTGTTGAGATGTTTTGTTACATAACTTAAGATGTGTTAGAGATAAAAGCATGAACTTGCCAGCATTTTATGTGGAATTTGGTGTTTTCCATGCCTACTTAATTAAATTATATTTAGATATTATTTTTTATTTTTTCTTCCCTGTCCCTTAGCACCCCACATCCACCTCAAAATATGCATGTATCCGGAAAAGAGGAAGAGGATGATAAATGAATGGGTGGATTTGCACAAGTTTTTCAGGAAACATGTGCAATACATGTGACAATACACCTATGCATTCATTTTCCCTGTACACCCACTAGTTTATGTGGTACACACAAAGTTTTGGAGATGTTTCAATTTTGTGAAAATGTAGCATGATTTTCAAATCCATTTTTGAACAAAATCACTTGCATGAAAAACCATACCATTTTCTCCTATGGTCAAGAGCAAAACAGTGTCAACTACCACACTGAAGTTTTTATTGAACCTTCTCAAATTAGGAAGTTAATATGACTCAAAGTTTTTCCCATGCAACTGTCCCTTAACACCCCACTGTCCCTTAACACCCCATTTTACGGTATGCATTTTTCTTCTCTGGTGATGATTAGTTGACATCAATTATTGATATTATTGCTCTTTTCACTTCTTGGTCATTATAACCTACACTCTATAGAAACCTAGAACTACTTGGTCGCTGGATATTCCAATTTGCTGTGGACCAAGCCCAAGGCCATCTATAGACTGTGGACGATATTCACCACCATTCTTGACCTTTACGCCACCTACCGCTTGATGTGTAACCCCTAGTTTGTGTTTGGGCCGCCAGACGGCGATATGTTGCCGGTACAGCCAGGACACGTTCAGTCCGGTCCACTCGTACACGTCCGGCGTCGAGTTCTACCTGAAGCGGCTGCGGCTGACCCAGGAGCGCAGCGTGACGCTCCAGCTGTGGGACGTCGGCGGCACATCGCTCACCGGAGGCATGCTCGACAAGTACCTCTACGGCGCGCACGTGAGTAGCGTCTCAGTACCTCTACGGCGCGCACGTCAGAACGTCTCACTCTCAGTACCTCTACGGCGCGCACGTGAGTAACGGCTCAGTGCCTCTATGGCGCGCACGTGAGTAGCGCGACAGCTTAGTACCTCCACGGCGCGCACGTGAATAGCGTCTCAGTACCTCTACGGCGCGCACGTGAGTAACGTCTCAGTACCTCCACGGCGCGCACGTGGGTTGCGCGACAGCTCAGGCTTTTATGGCGCGCATCTGAGCTCCGCAACGGCTCATTAGGTACCTTTACGGCGCGCACGTGAGTAATGGCTCGACAAGATCCCCTGACACGAATGCGTGTAATCTCGATGTCAATCCTGGCTAAGATTTGGAAGACTCGATAACTTTTACTCCTACTCTGGCTGACATTTATACTTAGTGAGTCGCTGACGCCTCGTTGTCCTTGCTTGAGTCCTGAGTGGCGAGTACCATGGAACTGATAGAAATGTGCACTGAAATGTTGATAGTGCTACTATCCGTATCGAATTCTGGAGTTCGGCGCATCTTGCTGCGGTGTTGGCCTTTGGTGCAGATGTCGCTAGTTATAGTAACCGACCCAGCTTGCTTCGAGACCCTTTACGCGGTCACAGAGCGGTCAGTGTTTAAGGTCTCGAAGGATCGAAGATTCAGACCCGATCCTGTCGAAAAAATAAATTCTTTCGATCCTGTCAATAAATACATTGACCAAGTTATATATGTAAACATCCGCATGGCCTGCAGCACATACACAACTAAAACGTGTCTGGGCTTAATACTTTTTCTGTGGCTGTCGCAAAATGTGCGTATGTTTATGATGACGTTCATGACGTCCCTATTATTTAGATTCGTGTCTTAAAGAAAAATATTAGTTTACAATTGCTTCTTTGGTATTCATACAAAGTTGAAGAGAGTATGCAAGATAGGACTTTCCAGACGATTAATTGATGCAGTGTTCGCCTTTTTAGGTTTATCAATGTTTTATACCATTTTGAAAGAAGACTGCCTATTCCAGTTTTTACTGTCACCTAGAGACATCTGCTTTCCTTCAACCTATTCTTTGTATATGTACGTTCACCTGGTAGTCTTTCAGTCGTAAGAGGCTGTACTCGGCGCTATACGCCTGTTGATTGTCCATGTGCCGCTTCCGCTGTCGTGTTTGCTCTGTTCGCCGATCAGTCTTCCGCTTCCGATGGCGTCATAGTGACGTCACAAAGGGTACTGGTGTCGCCCTGTTTGTCCTCATGTAGGTCGTGATTTCCGCAGTTTTATGTAAACAACTGATGAGGAATGTCGATCGTAGCCCGGGACGCCGCGTTCAAGGGTCCAGGGTTTGCGACAGCTCTGAGATCGATTCACCAATAATACGGTAATCGCTGAACTCCCGGCTCGCAACAGTTAATTGTCTCGTGTAATCTGCTTTCAAACATGAAGTTCCAATAATTTGGCCCAAACTCTTTATACCTATTTGTTATTTATCCAGACATTTTTACCCGTCTTAGGGCATTGGGCAGATCGTATTTCATAGGGAACGTTTTATTGCGAGTCATCGGTCTATTATTGACTGAGTTATAATTTTCAGTCAGTTCCGTGCTGTGCTCTGAGCTGCACAGATGACGTCACTTGTGGCGCCTGTTACAGCTGGCGCTGTTCGTGTACGACATCAGCAACTACACGTCGTTTGAGAACCTCGAGTCCTGGCTGATGGCCGTCAATGACGCCACGCGACATCAGACGCGCGCCCTGCGCCGCATCCTGGTGGCCAACAAAGGTTAGACACGTTGGCACTAAGGGACCATCATTGTGGAAGTCTTTCCATAGATCTTTCTTCTCTGCTTCGGATTGTATCACGGACACGTAGTTGTCAATAATCGCCCCATCTTGCCGACCATCAAAGCCTCAGACTACTAACACCGCGGCAGCTCCCTCGTTTTATTAACCCTATTCCTGGCGGGGGGGGGGGGCCTCAGGAGCCCCCCTGAGGTTTTTTGGTTATTTCTCCCAAACGCGTTGAGCTAGGAAGCTCAAATTTTCTGAATTTTCCTAAAAGGCTTCTACGCAACATGTCTGAAAATTTTGAGTTGATCTGACCTCAGGTCAGGTCACCAGAGGCGGTTTGGTGACCCTACCTAGAAAAGTTTGCAATCACGCCAGAGCTAGAGTTTTTGACCGATCAATTTCTTCTCTTCAGGCTTTAGTTAGGGTACCAGTATGTGCAATTTGTATATCTCGGAATTTTGATATCGGTGACCTAAGGTCAGGTCAGTTTCGCGACCTCCCCATTATAAGTCAATGGGGGAAAAATCAACTCCCTGTTTTTACCACTAAAACGGGTCGGAATGGCCCCATATACCATACATGACTTCATATACGATCAACCTTCACTACCTTGAGGTCTGTTTTGCTGTTGGGCAGCTGTGAGGTCATGTGACGTCATCAAAGGTCACCAAAGGTTTTTGGCCAATAACTCCGTACAGGAACAAGATACAGACGCGTGGATGGTCTCATTGTGTTCAGCTCGTCAAGACGCATCGAATGATATACATGATGACCTCGAGGTCACGTGACCTGAGGTCAACCTTTGATCTTGACCTTTCGAGGTCAACATATATATCATTCGATGCGGATTGACGAGAGGATCACGATGATGCCCTTAGTTTGTTCCTATCTTGACTAATTCGAAAGTTATTCGAGAAAAACTCTCCATATCTAGCGCCGCCATTTTGACTTTTTCGACCCCTGTGACGTCATCTTTGACCTGACCTGAAAATGACCTTAGTAAAAATTGTAGATCTTGACCGTGCGTATCCGATGCCGTTTACCGTTTGTCGCTGCGATGTGTAGTTTTTGAAATCTGAAGGGGGGGCCGAATCGCCCCCCCCCCCCGCCAGTTTCTTGTCCCGGCGGAGCCCGCCAGGAATAGGGTTAAATGATGCTCGTGTTTCTCCGAGATCCAGGCGAGGTAACTGTTCCGTATTTTACGGTCTTTGCGGGTGTCTAATGGACCTTTGACCCTGTCCGTGTTCCCGCAGGTGACCTGGAGCATATTCGCGCGGTCCGGGTGGACAAACACAAGAGCTTCGCGGCGGAAAACGACCTGATGTCATTCTTGGTCTCGGCTCAGAGCGGCGAGAACGTGAGTTCTGTTCGATAGTCCCTTATGGCGTATTATACCGACGTCGGTTGGCTGGGGGCCCCTGGCATGTGTGAGGACCTGTGACCACGGAAGGAGTGGCGTCATATTTTTCTCGGACGTTGCTGTTCTTATCTGATTGTTTATGTTCAAAGTTCATAGGACTGAATGTAGCGCAGTGAGAGTAGTTTCAGACGGTCGAATGAATGTTGATCAATTGCTGTTCCACAGTACTATTTATCGGCGATCAAACTCGTGTTAATGGTCATCTTAAAGTTAGTTTGGTTTGTTCAGGAGACTTGTGACAAACGTTGCTCTTCATAACCGGCTACTTAGTACTTACGGACGCAGCTGTAAAACCGATTGTCATTCGAGCATCTACTACAGATGATTGATTTTACACAAATTCAACGGACATTTAAATTATTTTCTTCGATAGTGTTTTGCGAGAAACTCGCTCGACATATTCGGTTCGTGTTTTATCCGCACCCAGAATCCACCGGGGATCACCGATCTAAGGACGACACCCCACCCGCCTGACCTCCCCTGCTCTCTGCTCTCGTGCTCCTCAGGTGGCGCAGATGTTCCAGCACCTGGCGGCGGTGACGGTGGGCGCGCGGCTCACTCGCGCAGACATGGAGCAGGCCTCGTCGGTGGTGCGTGCGCAGATCTCCAAACCCCGTCCGGAGACGGCGGCGGCACTGCCGCGACCGCCCACCGCCAGCCGCCTGCGGGTCAAATCCGAGGTCTGCGCGCTGATGTAGAGCCGTGAGGGAGAGAGGAGGGGAGAAGGGAGAGGTGTGGAGGGCGGAGGGAGGATGAAACGCTCCGGGGACATGTTTGGTGTGATTGGACAGGTTTGCCGCGATAAGATGCTGCTCATCCGTCGGTGCCTGGGCTGTTTGCGGTAGTGTGATAACATGACTCACACAGCACTTAACATATTGTATTGATCGTAACCCGGGAGCGGGAAATAGTCAAGGGCCATCAGCTGAGTCATCATGAGTGCCCACAATCGCGAAGAATGTTGACATGTGCCAGGTATCTCATATTAATCCCGCACAACTATGATACGAGTATACTGATTCACTTTAATCACCGTGTTATGTTGCGTGGCGCCTGAATAAGTCGATTGCATTATCAAATACCGATCTCAAGCCTCCGTCATGGCTGTCTGTGATGTTTTGGTGAACTTTTTAGCGCTAAAAAGACCAATGAATTATATGGTAGCGATCTTATATGCGGTATCCTACAGCTACAACCGTGGCAGAGAATGATAACCGAAACTGCCGATAAAGGGCAAAGGAATCGTTGCGAATTACCGTACATATATCATAGTTACGATAGTTACGAAAGATATGGCTAGTTGCGGTGTATATTTTTTTATGTTTATAAAATTGGATCTGAAACGTGATATATTGAATGATTAGGAGCCAGCTCGATGAAAAGGCATTGAATATCGCAATTAGCTTCGGACGAGGGTTGGCCGGCGATCTGGTCTATGTTTGTTTCGCTCTAGTTTCGTGTCGTTCGTGTTGCTCGCTGATACGACCGTAACCAGTCCTGGTCAGCGACGACAGTCCGTCCAGTACGTGGCAGTCCGATGTCGGGATGGATGTGGCTGGATGTGGCAATGTTCACCTGCCGTGGCGTCGATCTGGACTGCCCCGATCGAGGTGCTGGGTGCGACTGGCGAGGTGGTAGTAGGCACCTGTCAGTGTTTGCTGTTTCGTATGTATGTCGCTGGCTCGTACACAAAAGGTGTGCCTTCTAGATCATCGCAGTTTGCACTGCAGTTTTGTGTGCTACTCGTCTTTTAGCGAATATACGGCACTGGTACTCCCAGAGCCCACGAAGTCCCCCGGTCTCTTTTTTCCACGTTGACTATATTTTTTCATGACATTTGAATTACGAGATGGATTGCATGCACGCGCAAGTGATATGATGGCTGTAGCCTGTAGGCGCGCGCAGAGTCAGCGCGAATGCAGAGATATGTATGCCGGAGCACCATTTAGTAAGAAAAAGAAAAAATAGCAAAATCCGGGGACCGGGCCCTGGGGTGGTCCGTTACGTCACGTTCAGTAACCTTGAAATTGGTTCCTCTTCTATTTACAAGAAACACGTAAGTGTTCATCCGCGCTGCATACTATTTTATTACATATGCTAACTGATTTTTACCTCAAGATAAACTCAAAATAAGATTGCTCATTTACGTTACTCAATCAGCTGTGAAGACACTATAAATACACTATAAACGTCTAAAAAATCGTGATGTTCAAGGTACTATTTGTCTGCGAACTACATCAGCTGTTTTCATGAGAGCGAAAACAGGGCCATTGTGGCGCGCGGTGACAACACAAAGCTCGTGTGCTCAGGGAGGGGGAAGGGCTCTCTCTATCGTCTGGAGGTTTCGAAAGATGCTCTCCAGAGATGGCGCTAGTAAATTTGGCTGACATGACGTCATGCTAAAAAGTGATGGGTTTTGTGAGAGCAAATGTAATAATAGTTGAAAATTTTGTTCTTTTGCTTAATTAAAGGGACCCTCCCACCTTCAAAAAAGTTAATGAATTGGCATAAAAGTGATGTAGCGTGAATCACAAAGAGCGAAAATGAACATCTACCAAATTTTACCGGAAAATATTCAACCGTTTTCGAGATATAAGACTTTTATTTTTGTTTACTTTTTGGGAACTCCGCTGTTTCTATGACGTCACATAAAGGTTTTCTTTACGTCGGCATTTGGAAGCAATAATTTGGTATCAAAGTGCGACAAATATTGCGCGAATGATGCGTTTATCTCACTGTTTATCTTATCAAGGTCAATATATGATGGCCAACAAAGGATTCCAGTACAATTCTTCTTATGGCATTTTTTCGTATCGCAATTCTTCGTCTGCAAATCTTCGTCAGGGCATTTATTCGTATCGCATTACTTTGTCTCGCATCAGGGTATATGAAAATCGGCTCGCATTTCTTCTTCAACGCAAATATATGCAAGAGTAAGCATTGATGGACAAATAAATGCACCGACGAAGATTTGTAGACGAAGAAATGCGGACGAAGAAATGTCATGCGAGGATTCGTTCGGGTACCATGACATTTATGTGATTTCAAAGTCAAGGTTCACAGCTGATCTGCTAAATCGGGCCTTGGTAACAACTGGATTTCCATTACGTCATGGGTGATGATGTCACACCACGGGTGACGTTTCACTGCTGCTGCTGCTGTCCACGGAGGGCAGCGTTTGTGAGTGGAAAACAGTAGCAACATTGTAAATGAAGGCAGTATTGGCGCTTATGCTACATATGAAATTTATAACAACATATTGATATTGGTGAATGTTTATTTTTGTTACTTTTCATAAACCCTCCATTTCAGAGGGTCTGCATGCAAAATTTCTGTTATTTTTTAGAGTCAAGCTATTGTACTAAGGGATTTATTTTGGCAATTTAGTCATTTGTTAGGTTATAAGGCTGCAGAAACTTTTAGTTGAGGTTGGTATCCATTATCCAGTTGCAGCTATAATCGTGTCATATTTTGTATCATTTTCTGAACATGTAAACACCTACCTATATGAATTCAAATTTTGTGATTGTAGAAAAGCAGTTACCCTCACATTGCAGCGGGGATTAGAACAATTAACCACACTTGTTATACAAAAAGCCTGTTTGCCATCAATTTTGGGAATCCAAATTGGGTATTGGTAAGGTAGATGTAGCACAAGCTGCCCGATGCACGAGAATGGGTCTTTCTAACCAAACCTTACCTAACCTGACCTACAACCTACAGCCTTAAACCTAAAATTTACAACCTACGACCTAGTCCTACGGTATGGCATATCACAACAGCTTGTGCTACGTCTGCTAGTGCTACCATGACCCAACTTTGTGCCAATTCATACCAACTTGGGATGACAGTCACTGCAGATGACAGATGTGTGCTGACCATGCAGGTCTTTGTTACAATTGCAATTCTATTGTGTTACAGGTTCGGCGTTCTACAGCTGCGACCCGCCATGGCTGGGCCACCGCAGCGGCATCACCTTCAGGGTGGACCTGCCCGTGGCCACCCGCCGGTCGGACCCGCCTGCAGTCCGCAGGGAAGCTGCCCTGCGAGCCATTGCAGAGCTCCCGCACCCGGACGTCACTATCTGGTCGGACGGCTCGGCTCGCGGCGGACGGAACAGGGCGGCGCAGGCGCTGATCCAGTTCCACCACCTCAACAGAGAAGAGACCGTGCGCGCTCCTGCAGGGGCGGTCTGCTCCAGCCTAAGAGCAGAACTGACCGCCATGCGCGAGGCGTTCGCGGCTGTGGCCGGCCTGGAGGACGGGGAGTTGGCATCGACCAAGTCGGTCCGCCTCCTCACCGACTCAAGGTCTGGGCTCCAACTACTTGGCCGCGGCCCAGCTAACCAGACCATGGCCCTGGCCGCCGAGGTGTGGAGGCTGCTGAGTGCTGAGCACCCTCACCGAGAACGGCACCGAGACGGTGCTCCAGTGGGTGCCAGGCCATGCCGGGCTGGACGGCAACGAAACCGCCGACCTCCTGGCTGGCGAGGCCACGGCGGGCGACCAAGACAGCGCACCGATCGACCTGTCGAGTGCGCGGGCCGCCGTCACGCGCCATGTCCGGGAGCTGTCGCGACAGAGGGCAACCGCTGCCCACCCGCACCCGGACCCCACGCCTGGCCACGACTCCCTGGCGCGCTGGGGTCGGTGACGCTGTCCCAGCTGAGGACCGGCACATCACCGCTGACCCGTGACACGCTCCACAAGATTGGCCCGGAAGCCGACGACGAATGCCCCGCGTGCGGGGAGCCCGACCGCGCGGCGCACCTACTGACCGATTGTCCGGCCTATGAGGCGGCCCGCCGCCGCCGCTGGGGTGTCGACCCTCGCCTGGTCGACGTCCTCGGCGGCCCGGCGACGAAGGTCGTCACCTTCATCGAGGATGTTGGGCGGACCGAGCCGCCGCTCGACCCGCCTGCGCCGCCGCCCCCCTGAGCGGGTTGGCAATGGGATGCAGAAGAAGAAGAAGAAGCAACTGCCAGCGCGCCACGGCGGCGAAGCCGAGTTCCGCCGCTGGACCGCCCGCGCAATGGCCAGCACAGACAAGAGACAACCGAATCACAACACCTACAATTACGTTATTATGGTATTGACATTGTTACAATTAACCCTGCTCTTTCGAGCGTGGATGCACGCTGAAATTGTCGCATAATTCCATGCAGCTTCCACCCTTCTGCAATACAAAGTTTGAATACAAAGTAGTCTTACAATAGGTTTAGAACTTATGTGCAGATTGTCGATGCTGGTTGACTTGATGATTGGAATTGTGTTTATCTGTTTATCTGTTTTGACTTAAATATATGGCCATGTACTATGGCCTACCTTGGGAAGTGTCTCTGATTTCAACAAAACATTTTTCATCAGGATACGCTGCAGGGTACATAGTACATACGTAGTGAAAATTTTGAGCATGTATGGGTGCGCATGTGGAGATGTAGACTGCGAATGAGACGGACTACGACGGTTTTTGAACCAATTAAATCTGATTGACAACATAATGTAGGATTAAAAACTGACTGTCAGAAGAATATTCACAGAATATTCACTTCACCCAGTACAACGAAAAGGGAAAGTCAGGAAACAGGCAGGGTACATCTCGAAGATCAATCAAATTGCAGGTGCCGATTGGTTATGGTTCATTGTAGCTCAATGTACTGCCTTGTGCTGCTTTATTGATTGAAATTGCTTCCAGCTTGTATTGAAAGAAGTCATTATGGAAGAATTAAAAAGGTTCTTGAAAAATTTAAATACTTTGAATTGATATTTATGCAGAATTATACACCCGTATCATTCTTTACATGTCAATATTTGTATATTATCTAGCATATAAGAAAATAGTGGCCTCAAGTTTCTAGAAAATATCTGATTTTACTCTCAGAGCCACTGCAGATCCCTAAAAAGTTAGGAGCCGTCTTCATTATTGAATGTATAAACCCAAATAAATTATCACTGCTCAAAAGTGGAAGAAATGACAAATGAAATAAAGTTTTCCTACAGCGTTGCAATCCAGATTTCAAGATAGTGATGGGCGCACTAGAAAGCAAGTAAAAGTACTCCACAAGGCAAAAGTAAGGAACAAGAATATCCTTATACTGTTTCAGAATTCGGTAACAAACATTTTTTGTGTGTTTTAAATACCCGAACAAATCGATTCCAGAATCAGTCTTGATAATATTATATGGTTTTTGTATGGTGTTGGTGGTACTTGAATGACCAAAGTCAGTACATGTCCATCACCTTTCGATATTTCCGTGGTGCTCGTTCCCATTTCATAGCTGCTCACGGTGTTTTCTGCTGACGTCATATGGTGCTGCTCCACTAGCGCCACCATACGGCGTCAGCTGGCGAATTATCCAGTTAATACCAGAGCCCGCTAAATCAAGCCAAGAATCCAAACTATCAAAAAACTATAAATATTTGTTTGTCTGTCACAGAGGTCTCAAGCAATATAAGGTTGACATATGTTGAATCAAAAATCTACTGCCACAACTCACATCTCCTGCCTTAGTTTATCATTGTTGTTTTAACTTGCTTTCAAGAGAAACAGAAGCCAGTATCTGATATCACTTCAGATGATTGTTTCAAGATCTGAGTTCAAATGGAATTAAAAGCAAGATCAAGATGAAACAGGGATTATTGCTGTTAAAGTAGTTTGGCCATGATACAACAGGCACATAAATCATTAGCCAAATCAAATACTGGTTGGTTTGTCAAGATGTTTGTTGTCTGTCGTCTGTCGAGCTGCTATGAACACTGAACGCTCTCACTCTTACTTTAAAGAGAGTAGTTTAAGTT